ATAGCTTTGACCCATGTGTAGTATATGCATTGATGTGTGCACTATTTCCTAATTGGGAAAATCATTACACTTTTTTCTGCCACACCTGATGTCAGGCACAGTGCACATTTAGGTTGGGAACTGTTTCCCATGCTTTTTGGGCCAGAAGAATTAATGGCTAGCATGGTGTGGTCATTGTTAATGATGATGTGTGCACTATTTCCTAATTGGGCCATTTCCTAATTAAGAAAAGTGTTACACTTTTTTCTGACACACCTGATGTCAGGCACAGTGCGCATTTAGGTTGGGAACTGTTTCCCACGCTATTTGGGCCAGAAGAGTTAATGGCTAGCATGGTGTGGTCATTGTTAATGATGATGTGCGCACTATTTCCTAATTGGGCCATTTCCTAATTAAGAAAAGTATTACACTTTTTCAGACACACCTGATGTCAGGCATAGTGCACATTTAGGTTGGGAACTGTTTCCCACGCTTTTTGGGCCAGAAGAGTTAATGGCTAGCAGGGTGTTGTCATTGTCAATGACAATGTCTGCATATTTCCCAATTGGGAAAGTCATTACATAATATCAGTTTGGTTTGTAGTGTCCGGTTTTTTCATTAGAAAATTGTATAGTGTCCGCTTTTTTCATTAGAAAATTGTGTAGTGTCCACTTTTTTATTATAACACTTTGTAGTGTCCGCTTTATTCATTAGAAAATTGTGTAGTGTCCGCTTTTTTCATTAGAAAATTGTGTAGTGTCCACTTTTTTCATTACAACACTTTGTAGTGTCCACTTTATTCATTACAAAATTGTATAGTGTCCGCTTTTTTCATTAGAAATGTGTGCAGTGTCCCCTTCTTTCATCACAAAGGTGTGTAGTGTCTGCTTTATTCATTGCAAAATTGTGTAGTGTCCACTTTATTCATTACAAAATTGTGTAGTGTCCGCTTTTTTCTTACAACACTGTGTAGTGTCCGCTTTTTTTATTAGAAAACTCTGTAGTATCCGCTTTTTTCATTACAAATGTGTGCAGTGTCCGCTTTTTTTCATTAGAAAACTGTGCAGTGTCCACTTCTTGCATTATAAAGGTGTATAGTGTCCGCTTTTTCATTAGAAGAATGTGTAGTGTCTGCTTTATTCATTACAAAATTGTGCAGTGTCTGCCTTTTTCATTAGAAATCTGTGTATTGTCCGCTTTTTTCATTACAAAATTGTGTAGTGTCCACTTTTTCATTACAAGTGTGTATGTAGTGTCTGCTTTTCTCATTAGAAAACTTTGTGGTCTGCCTTTCTGATATCTTGTCACTCCAGCAAAACAGCTCTTCATCATTTGGAATTCATACACCAGTTGTGTTTTGACTGAGCATTAAGTGTCCTAACTTTCTCCTTGAACAGCATCTGACAGTAACCCCAACAGCTGGCAAATCAATCACTGAAAGGAGATCATGTTGAGGTTGGCTATGGTCAGACATAGATGGACAGAGATGAGTCCCCAGGGAGATGCAATGAATGTTGGACAACATGACTGAAGCTGGCCAAGGGGACAATTAGGACACTTGATGCTCAGTCA